TGTATGCCTCACCCCCCCGACAAACCACCCCCCAGTGCCTTCTGCTGTGTGCCTCACCTCCCCGACAGACCTCCCCCAGTGCCCCTGTGCTGTGTGCCTCATTCTACTGATGCCCCCCCAGTACACTACTACTGTGTGTCTCATTTCCCCCCTTAAGTCTCACCCTCCAGTTACTAGATAAGGGTTAACCAGTTCCTGAAGAGCAGCCCCCTGACCCTGGCCTGCCACAGGCAAAGTGCTGCTCCAGCTTTGGTGGTCCTCCCATGTGGAGCGGCCAGCCAACAACAGCTGGTCCTATGCTGTTGGCAGCTGGGACTGGGAGCCAGGAGCCATCCCTGCATGGCTTTTTACTGGGGCCGCAAGCTGGCAGCCAGCTCCACGTGGCACTGAGAGCAAGAGTCTTGCAGGCTGGGGACTGCTCCATCTGGGTTGGAGCAGCCCCCACCTGGGATCCCACTGAGTCAGATAACTGATTAATTGATTAATTGGGATGTTACATTCTACCAGCTATGGGGCATTTTCTTTCCCCTTGTCCCCTCCGGCATTCAGGGGCTGTTTTTCTTCCTCGCCTCTCCGCCACTGCGGCTAAGGGCCAGGAGAGAGGAAAGGGTTTAGGATTACTCTCATGCTGGTAGGCAAGATGGCAGAGCTCTAGGATTGGTAGTATGACTACCCCAAGTGGACACTCTCTTGTCGGCTCGCTGCCCCAGTGACCACTCTCATATCACGTTATTCCAAACTGCAGACCCTCCTTTTGTATATTGTGGCAAACTGTCTTTTTTCTGGGGCAGCCAGTTCTCCTGGGACAACCAAAGCTCGACTGCTTTAAGTTAGGAGATGAGGAAGCTGCATACCAAACTTGGTGGTCCTAGTGATTACTGTTTACAAGGATTTCTTGAACAAATGGACTCACAGACAGAGATAGATAGATAGATAGATAGATAGATAGATAGATAGATAACAATTATTGTTTTCCATTAGATAATAATGGCAAAGCAATTAATATTAATATTAATATTAATAACTATGCCCAAGCCAAATATAAAAATTATAAAGTATCAGGATAAATTAAGTAAAATGTCTAAAAGGAGGTTAACATTTTTTTTTTAGAATTTTTTACCCTAAAATGATTTTGATTATTTAAAGTGAAATACTTTTAAAAATTTAATATACTTTCACTCTTTATGCTATTTTATTTATTTCTCCCGAATATACAGTAAAAATAAACTAATCAATATCACCTCTATTCTGTTAGAAACCCTAATTTCAATTTTAGGTTCTCACTGTGGTACTCTTTCTGGGCACAACCGAACCCTTATGTTGCTTTTAGTTATACGAGGAAGCTGTATACTGAATTTGATTAACCTAGCTCTTACCGTTTAGGAGGAGTTCTTGAACAGACAGACTGGCAAACTCTCTAAAATATATAGTAGAATAAAATCAAGTGTTAGTAGGTAAAATAATATTGTTAGCATTTTATGGCACATAGTTCATTTATAGTACAGGTGGGACCTCCCTGGTCTGGCCCAGAGTTTGCCATACCAGGGGAGGTCAAGGCTCCCTTCCTGGCTGTCAGCCCTACTCCCCACTGTTGGTCCTGTTACTCCCAACCCTAACAGGCCTGCTCTTCCACCCAGGGCCGGGGCTTTGTTCCCCACTGCACTAAGGGCACCATTCTGGGCTGCTCTCCTAGCCACTGGCCCTGCTGCCTCCAGCTCAGCTGGGGCTGCACTCCCTGCTGTGTCGGTTTCAGCTGGGGCTGCGCTCCTAGGTGTCAGCCCCTCTGCCTCCAGCCCAAGTGGGGCTGCGCTCCCTGATGACTTGGCTTGGCTGGGGCTGTACTTCCTGGGCATCAGCCTTCCTGCCTCTGGCCCTGATGGGGCTGCGCTCCCCACTGGAGGTCCTCGCTGCGGTGGCCATGCTGCCTCCAGGCTACGCTTCTTGCCTCCAGCCCAGCCCCTGAACCTGGCCTGCCAGGGCTCTCTGATACAGCAATATCCATGGTCTGGCAGAATCACAGATGTTGCCACACCAGAGAGTCCTAGATTTTAGAGGTTTAACCTGTATGTAGTAATTTGACTTTAATTTGGTTGTACTCTAATGCTCAGAAATAAAACGAAAAGGACTCACTGCTATGTGCAAAATCAACTTTCCCTTGTAGTGGGGCAAATAGCGAACTTGAGCTATTTTAAAATACCTAGACACACTTAAACTATTTAATGGTGGTATAATTAAAGTGTAATAGTATATAGGTATTTTTAAATTGCTTCATTCCTCAGAAAAAAAAAATGTCAATTTAAAATATGCAAAGTGGCTATTCTGCACCTGAACTCAAAGCATTCCATCTTTAGCATGTGTTTGTCATTCCTTTTCTAGAGAAGAACCAAAGAAGATACTTGGAAATCAGATGAACTTAAGAAACATCTCAGGGTAAAGTCTTTTGTTAATTTATTAGGATCAATTTAGCCATTTTCTGGACTACCTCCTTCGGTAAAATGAATATGACAGACGTTATATTTTAGGATATAAAGACATCTCAGTCCTCCCAGCTCAGATTTAGTTGGATTTGTGGGAGTATTTAAGAAAAGCAGTTAATCTAATACTTAGGAAACAGTTAATGCATATTTTATATAGTTATACAGAAATTATGCCAGAGGCTGTATATACAGTATATGGGCCTGATCATTCATAATAACTGATTTTTCTGTTGAGAACCTGAATCTTCATTTTTCATGAATGTGAAGAGTGTTTAAAATAGTTGGTTCCATTACGCGGATGGAAGTGAATGATCGCCCTGCAGTGGGGATGGCTTAGTGGCCTATATACTTGATTTGAAAGATTTTGAGGTCAGCAGGAGTGACTGAGCTCTTTATCCCTATTAGGTAGATATATCAAGTTTTATTTCAATTTAATTCAATTTAAATGAAATTCTTATATGCTCTGTATTAACCTGAAAGGTCTAGGCCAGTGGTTGTTAACCTCTTTGGCACTGTTACCACATAAGCTTAACCAATAAACCAAAACTACCCCTCCCCCCTTTTTAAATGGCAATAGACAAAAAGGAAATTACAATTAATAATGTTAATGTATTTTGTTTTCTCATACATTATGTTGAACAAAATTTAACACCTATTTTATTTTAAACTTATATATTAGGTTCATTGTTCGAAAATGAAAACACATCACAAATAGCATTTCTCAGATGAATTTCTGTGTGAAGCTTGATACTGCTTCTGCTTGACTAGCTTAGAGATACAAGGTTTTGTCACATCTCAAGTAATGACTAAGATCCTATCTATTCCTTGCCTTCGTTTTAATGTTGACCATTGTAGAAAATCTGACATCACAGTTATGCGTTAAGGGAAGTGGGATTAGAAGTTTGAGAGCTCTGTCAGAGGGCATGTCTAAACTACATCCTCCTTTCGAAAGAGTGATGAAAATTAGACAGATCGAAATTGCAAATGAAGCTGTGATTTGAATTTCCTGTGCTTCAGTTGCATAATGGCAGCTGCGTGTTCTTTCAGAAATGGGTACAGGCAGTCCCCGACTTAGGCGGATCCGACTTATGTCGGATCCGCACTTACGAACGGGGCTTTCTCGCCCCGGAGGTCGAGGTGGCGGATTGCTACCTGCGAGTTCCGGGGCGAGAAAGCCCCTTTCGTAAGCTGCTCCGGTGCCCCTGGTCTGCTGGAGACCGTCTCCAGCAGACCAGGGGCACCGGGCGGGTTCCCGTGCTTCTGAGGCTTTGCTCTGGCAAAGCCTCAGAGGCGCGGGACCGTGCCACAGCTGCGGCTTTGGCTCCCGCGCCCCCGCGTCCGCCGG